ATTAGTAGTAGATACTAATAAAGAGACACTTACAGTACTTGTAGTGTATAATGAGCTGCCTCTGCCTTGTTCTTTTCCTAACAGTATCTACAACAGAAGAGGAAGAATGTGTTCTCAGACTGTTTAATGTAGTCTTCAACACTACACTTTGGTCATTACTCAGTCCCTACAAGTTGAATAGTGTGTGTGTGTGAATTGAGGTTAAGCAGGTTGTAGAGGCTGAGACTGTACCTGTAAGACAAGTTTAGAGTGATTAGTAAGTGATAATAAGAGAGAAAAGGTGGACACACTATAACAGTGTACAGTAAGTGTGAGTAGTACACTAAGGTTAGGATCCAGAGTGTTGAACAAGCTGATTTGAGTAGTAAGTAAAGCTGTGCCTGTATGTACACATTACATACACCTTCAATTGTAAGATGTAGTCAGAGTAGAGAACTTAGTCATTGTGTGTGGTTGCAAAGGTGTATCTCTAGGATGTTCTGGCTTGAAGGGAGAGAGTGAAGTGGGTAATGTGAACAGACTCAGCTTAAAAGGGGTAAGTAATAACTACTACTTACCTTATTTGAAATAGTGTTATAGACAGTACTAAGGAATGTAAATGTGTGTAGGGCAAACCTGTTAAGAGTAATGTCAAACATGGAATATACAAAGGAGTAGAACATATACAGTGTCAGGGAGGGGGTGGTACAATAAGAGTGGTTGTACATGAACATTGTTGTGAGTATGCTTGTGTGTGCTTGTCAATTCTTACTTACACTACAGAGTAGGAAGAAGTACACAAATGTATAGAGTTATTAGAGAAGTTGTTCAGTATTGGTCAACAATACAGATGCACAAATGTGAATTCAAAAAGGGAGACAAATGTAAAAAAAGGAGGACAGTAAAGGGGAGGCAATGCAAGTAGTGGGACAAGGAGTAGAAGGGATGGAAGGGAGACAAAAAGTTGGGAGAGAAGGGATGAGCAACTATTGTACAGTCTTTTATAAAGTAGACTGGATGCTTACTACTTTACATTAAAGGACAGTATAGTCAGCTCAGTGACACAACATACAATCTGAGGCTCTGTACAGGCACTGTAACAGTAGATCAGAGAGATGAGTTGCAGCAATGTTTATTGTCTGTATTGTTGCACTCAGAGTACCTGCTGGAGGATGCTTGCAAGCAGAGGACTAGGCTGGAGAGAACAAAAGTGACAACATAGTGTCAGGGCAGAGGGTTAGACTTAGAGAGATGGTGGAGGTCAGAGAGAAAGAGTGACAGCTGTAAGAGCGTCACGATCTTCAGTGTTGATTATGTAATCAATGTTCGTGATAGTAGTGAAGCTGTAAAACAAAACCAATATTATATTTAGATGTAAAAGGAAAGCACTATTTTACTTTATGATACAGTTGATAGTAATCTGACATGTCTATATTGCTTTTAACACATTGATATAGTTTTTACAAGTATCTGAATACCTTATACAAACAATATAAAATCTTTTACAAGGTGAATTTTAGTCTGTCTTCAAAGTTATAATCTAAGTATAATACTTTAGCTTATAATGTAAGGTTATCATAATGTATTCAATGAATTGTAATGATTTATAACACTCTTAG